AGCCCCCCCCCCCGGCGCCCACCTGCCCAGGATCTCGATGTAGACCAGCGCCGGCGCCGTCTGCTCCACCACGTCCGCGATGAAGTTGTAGCTGCTGCGCGGGGAGCGCGGCGGGGGGGCCGGCACGGCGGCGCTCAGGACCGGCAGCCGCGGGCGCTCCTGGCCGGCCGCCCCGCTCAGCAGCAGCCCCAGCGCCGCCCCCGCCGCCGCCCCGCCCGCCGCCGCCGCCGCCGCCCACCGCAGGGAGGGGAAAGGCGAGCGCCGTTCTCCGCGCGGGCCGCCCCCGGACCCCGCCGCCGCCGCCCCCGCCCCGCGCCGCCCGGGGAACGCCCGCAGGACCGCCGCCAGCCTCGCCGCCATCGCTCGCCGGGAGGAGCCGCGGGGCAGGCCGGGAGTCGTAGTGCGGGGGGCCTCCAGCGGCGCCGGAAGGGGCGGGGCCACGCGGCCGCGCTTCTTCCGCTTGCCCGCCAGGCGCCTGACATGGCCGCTGTGCCCGCGGCCCGCCCGTGAAGGCCGGCGAGGCGCCCCCGGGGAGGCATGGAGCCGCCTCCCGCCGCCGCCGCCGCCGCCAGCCCGGAGCGCCTCTTCGACTCCCACCGGTGAGGCCGGGGCGAGGCTACGCGCGGGGAGGGGGGAGGGGGAGGCCTGCCGGGCGCCGGGCTCTCCCGCCATTCTCCGCGCGCCTCTCTCCGCAGGCTGCCGAGCGACGGGCCGCTGCTGCTGGCGTTGCTGCTCTACGCGCCGGTGGGGCTCTGCCTGCTGCTGGTGCGGCTCTTCGTGGGGCTGCACGTCTTCCTGGTCAGCTGCGCGCTCCCGGACGGCGCCCCGCGCAGGTGAGCGCGCCCCCGTGGGGAGGGACCCGGGAGGGGGCGGCGAGCGTCCCCCCCGCCCCGCCCCGGTGCTACTACGCGGGCTCTCTCGGCTGCTCCGCCCGCAGGTTCCTGGTGCGCGCCCTGTGCTCCGTGCTGGGCCTCTTCGTGTGGCAGAGCCGCCCGCGCCGCGTCCGTCTCCCGCGGGCCCTGGTGGCCAACCACGTCACGCCCTTCGACCACAACGTCCTGGCCCTGCTGGCCTCCTGCCGCGCGGTGAGCGGGCCGGGGGGGGGCGGGGGGGTCTTGGGTGGGCCGGGGCGGTTGCAGCCTTCAGCGCTTAGCGCCCGTCTCCCCCGCAGCCCGTGCTGAGTGGCGCCGCCGCGGGCTTCGTCTGCTGGTCCCGCGGGTTCCTGGAGGTAGCCGGCACCGAGAGCCGCGCGGAGCTGCTGGAGTCACTGAAGGGCTACTGCTCACAAGGCGCCAACCCGCCACTGCTGCTCTTCCCCGAGGAAGCGACGACCAACGGCCGGGTGGGCCTGCTGCGTTTCAGGTGCGGGCAGGGGGGGCCGGGGGCCTGTGGTCGTACCGCGTTGGCGCCCCTCACCCGGCTCACCCGCCACCCCTTGCCTTTCCAGCTCCTGGCCCTTCTCCATTGTGGACACGGTGCAGCCCTTGGCTCTACGGGTCTGGAGGCCCTTCGTGGCTGCGGTGAGTCTGGGGCCGGGAGGCGGCCTGGGGCTGCCTTGCTGTGCCTCTCTGACAGCTCCCGTTTCCCCTTCCAGAGCGTGGCTGGTGCTTCCTGGGTCACTGAACTGCTCTGGACTTTCTTCGTTCCTGTCACCGTTTATCAAGTAAGGTACTACAGCTCTCTGATTTTTGTGGGATGTGGGCTACGGGATCCCTTTGCATCCAGACTCAGAAATCCCTCAACCTGGAGGACTGCAAGGAAATGGCGGTCTGTCGCTGAAATCCTGAGGGCTTCTCACTCTCCCCTCAAGGTGGCTGCCATCTGTGTGCAGACAAGCCGAGGAGACCCGGGAAGAGTTTGCCCTGCGAGTTCAAGAGGTAGGAATGGCAGCGGGGTGGGGTGGGGGGTGCTCAGAAGATCCGGAAATCTCAGCTTGGCTCTCTGCTCTTTGCAGCTTCTAGCTTTGGAGCTGGGCGTGGTGTCTACGTGCCTCACAGCCGCTGACAAAGCAGAGCACCTGAAGCGTCTCCACCACCACCTTCCAGCTTCCCGTCCTCCCCCAGGTGAGTCTCTGCAGCTCTGGGTGAGCAGCTCTAGGTGTTGGAACTCCACCTTGTTGGAAGCAGCTCCACCTTGTTGGGAGAAGCAGCTGGACAGGATCTGCCGAGGAGGGTACCAGGTTCAGCATGACTGCTGCAGGAAACAGCCTCCCTCCTTCCTTCCCTTGCAGCTCCAAGGCAGCCCTCTGGGGGCCGGCCTCAGGTCTCCCGCAGCGGTGCCTCCATGGAGGACATGCACTTGATAGGCATGGCCCGGCGCGTCCGAGAAGTTCTACCCCAGGTGCCCATGGCAGCCATCCGCAAGGACCTAGGTGAGGAGAGGGAAGCAGCAGCAGCAGGAAGGCCCAGGGGTGGTGCTGTGCCCTTCAGCCGAGAAGGTTCCTGGGGCCTAAGGGGAAGGGAAGGGTTGCACCTTGGGAACCTGGGAAGGGTAGGTAGCCTTTTGCAGCACGGGGGGCCTTGGGCAGATTTCCTGGCACTTTGCCAAGCCCTGAGCAGGGCTTCCTAGGATGAACGTGAATCTATTATGGGGCAACGATTGTAGGAGGAACACACAGCAAGTACATTTCCAAGGTGCCTTTGGCGGAGATAAAGCTTTCCCCTCGTTAAAAGGCATCATTTTTCTTTCTCCCCTTTTTCACTGTGGGTGTTTCAGAAATGTTGAGAAGCACTTTTCCTTTGCATAGTTTTCATTTGACTGAGTTTCTTAAGCGTGTGCGCCTCATCCTGCAATAGCGTATATGAGGAAGCACACACAGAGCATCAGTAAGCAGTGGGGTACCACGAGGCTCCCTCTTAGGCCCAGTAAACTCTTCAATATCTTCATTAATGACTTAGATGAGGGAGTAGAAGGGGGGCTCGTCAGATTTGCAGATGACACCAAACTGGCAGGAGCAGCAAACACCCCAGAAGACAAACGCAGGATCCAAAAAGATCTTGACAAACTTGAACAATGGGCCCTATCCAGTAAAATGAATTTTCATGTGGAGAAAAGCAAAAGTTTTACATTTAGGCAGGAAAAAAATCAAAGGTACAAGTACAGATTGGGCGAGACCTGGCTCAAAAACAGCAACTGTGAGAGGACCTTGGAGTCCTAGTGGACGATCACTTAACCATGAGCCTGCAGTGTGCAGCAGCAGCCAAAAAAAGCTAATATAATCCTGGGTTGTATAAACGGGCATAGAATCAAGATCACACAAAGTATTAGTACCGCTTTATAAAACCCTGGAATACTGCAGCCAATTTTGGTCACTACAAAAAAAGATGTTGAGACCTTGGAAAAAATTCAGAGAAGAGCAACTAAAATGATCAAAGGCCTGGAGACTAAAACATATGAGGAACGGCTGCGGGACTTGGATTTGGCTAGTCTAAAGAAAAGAAGAAACAGGTGACGTGATAGCAGCATTCCAGTATTTGAGGGGCTGCCCCAAAGAAGAGGGGATCAAACTATTCTCCAAAGCACCAGAGGGCAGGACAAGAAACAACGGTTGGAAACTGACCAAAGAGAGTAGAAGCAACTTCCTGACAGTGAGGACAATCAACCAGTGGAACAGCTTTGCCTTCAGAAATCGTGGGCGCTCCATCACTGGAGATTTTTAAGAAGAGATTAGACAGTCACTTGTCTGAAATGGTATAAGTTCTCCTGCTCGAGCCGGGGGCTGGACTAGAAGACCTCCAAAGTCCCTTCCAGCTTCTATTCTATTCCTAGTGTGTACTGTGAGGTTTGTGGGAAGGAAGCCTCATCTACAAGGGACTGTGCGGTTATGAGAAAGTTGGCGCTAGTCTTCATTACTGCTTGTTTCTTCCTTCTTCAGCTCAGACTAACTGTGTGGACACCACGATTGCCAACCTCTTGGAGGGGCGGGCTCCCTTCGTACCAGAGGCAGAGACCGAAGGTTTTGTGGCTGCAGCTCCCTCTTTCTATGGCGCTCAGGATCCTTCCACCTCCCGAACGGCCCCGGTACTTGCATGCGGGTCCAGAAGGTTGCGGGTGTTTGTCTGCAGGAAGCGTGTTTGGGCAGGTTCCTAAAGGTGCCTCTGTTTCCTTCAGGCATCGGGGAAGGTCTTTGCCAGATCTTCAGAAGCCAGACAGCTCTCTCTCCAGGAACGGAAGCAAGCGCTCTGGGACTACGCCAGGAGGTGGTGGAGCCCCTTTTCCTGTGGGCAGAGGGCTGCACGTGGAACGGGAGGCACCCCTGAGGGGCTGGCAGAAAGTGGCCCCTTGTGCTAAAGGTGACTCTTTCTTTGCAGGAGATACACAGAGAAATATGGAATAGCCCACGCAGAGGGGAGCTGCTGACCGCGTGTCTTAGCTTGAACTTGTGGCTCGGTGGACCATGGATCTTTGTGGGGATCGCTGCTGTCCTGGGGTGACCGAGGTGGCAGTTCTTGACAAGTGTTGTGTGTGCCATCCGTGGGCTGCCTCTGCCGGCGGGGAGGCTACAGCTCCAGCCAAACGCAGGCTCGCAGCCTTCCTGAGTTCTCTATCGCCACACCTGGGCCTGGCATTGTCGGGCCCAAGAGCCTGCCCAGTGGGGAGGGGGGGGGTGTCTTTATCAAAATAAACACGACTCTGAATGCTCATCTACTTGGTCAGGTGCTGCTTCTTTTGGCATGAGAGAGAGAGAGAGAAACCTGGAAAGGTCACCTCTCTGGAGGCTTCTGACCACTTGGCCATGTTGCCCGCAGCTTGGTTTTCTGGACTGCCTACACTGCTCTGTCAGAGGGAAAGTTCTAGTGCAGCTGGCTGACCCTGCATCCATGGTAGGAAGGTAGGTGGGGGACTGACGGTATTAGGCCTCTTAGGTGCTCCCGCCGTGTTCTTCCGGGCTTTTTCGCTGAAGGGGCTCTCAAGAAGTATTCTGTAGTCTGAGCATCCTCCAGGCGTCTAGACCGACCCTCCAAATTTTTAGGAACCCTGAAATTGGCTTGGATATTCTGAGAGATGCTTCTGGAAAACGCTTGTTGCCAGCTGCAAAGAAGAGATTTTTGCATTAACAGTTGTTGCATTTTGTTACCCGTGTTCTGATGATTCCAGTTTCCATGGAATGAGCATCCACCATACTGTTTAATGGTTTTGTCTGGGCTGCATGGTTTACTGGAGTTCACCCTGGTTGGCCAGTTTGTGGCTCAGCGTTGTGTGAACCCAGGCAGAGGTGGAATAGTTGTACCTGCTTCGCATACCAGCCGGCCATGTCTAGGCCCAGAGCCCTCTATGGTCAGAGGACTCCCTGCCTTGCTTGCCAGCAGTCGCGTGGGCTGGGGCTGCCGGGAGTGGTGGTTAAATCTGATTGCTCAGCTGTTGGTTACCTAAGCTGTTCTTAACCCAGATTTTGAGGGTTGTGGGGCACCTTGAGCAAGCTAGGTACAGTACAAACTAGGTTGGCTGGTTTGCAGTTCAACATCTGGTGCCGACCCAAGCAGCCTTCTGGGTACAGCCTCCCCAAGCAGAGCCATTTCTGGAAGGACCCTTTGCGGCCTCCTCCTCAAGCCGTGTCCCTTTCCCAGGGCTCGGGTGAGGCAGGTGATAAATGCAAAAATAAGAGACTGGAGAAATTTTTGGATTTAAAAAATAAGGAAGCTCTTGGTCCGTTGTGCAGGGAATCCTGAGGAACGCTTGGCATCCTCTCTGTGTGGTTTCGCAGAAAGGGAAGAGTCCCTCCCCATCGGAATAGGAAAGATAGAGAATCTCCCTCGCACCCATGTGCTGTTTCCAGCAGCTCTGGGGAGTTCTGAGGCTTTTGAGACAGAAGTAGTAAATCATTGCTTCCTACTGGTGTCCTTGTTCCCTCCCCCCCCCACCCCCTGGTTCTGCTTGCCTTTTGTGTCATTTCTGCCGTACAATGAATAAACATCAAGCTATGGTTTTGTTAGCTGAACTGAGTAGTGTATATGCTTCTTCTGAGCTGGATACAAGGACTGAGTAGGGGTGTGCCGGATGCAAACTAAAATGGAAGTTATCAACAATAATTCGACACTGTCCAATAACATGGATTCCAGCTTGGATCTTTCTTATATCCTTCTTGGGGTTCATGACTCTGTAATTCCCACTACTACACCCCTACCCCAGTGCATGCCAGTGCTTTTCTAGCAACAAAAAAATAAAATTGCAAACGTCCATAAAAGAGAGGTTGCTTCCTGGACACAGAGCATTGTGGCCTGTGACTTAAGGAAAATATTTCTTCTACCCATCGCATCTTAGGAAATAGAACACCTCTCAAAAATGAAATCAAGATTTATTAAGCAAAGTAAAAGCATTTTTAAACATTAAAATGCAAATATTTTGCAACTAAAAAGGAAGTACAGACCTGTTCAGATAATGGGAGAACAGCAGTAGGAACATCATTTTCTGTCTTCCAACCAGCAAGATGTTTCATTCTTGGTTTGTGCGAAGGAGACCCTGAGTGCTCTGTAGAGGATCTTTTATGCTTTACGGACAAATTGAGGGTTGTAGAGACTGCATTTAACTTTTGTATCTCTGCTCTCAGGTTCCCCTCCCCCCCTCCCAATATTTAAAGGAAATTTGGCTCACCAATTCTCTCTCTTGGATATTTTCCGCTCTTAGTTTTGACAGTTTAAAGAACTTCAGAGTTCCCTCTGAGGGTCAAAGAGAGTCCTGATGTTCAGGAAATGGCCATTTTCCCAGTGAGTGAGTCTGAGGCCCAGGGAAGGGAAGGGGGGGCCTGCCCTTCATGGAGCTGAAGTGTGGCACACCCACCTGGGTGGCAAGAGGAGGGGGGGGACGCTCTCAGGAAAGAGGCTGCTGGGATCTTTCGCCTGTCCAGCAAGTCAACAGAAGACTAGGAGAAAAGCCTCACTGCCTCCTGGCCAAAGAGCTCCCGTCTAAAGTGGTCTCTGGGCACAGAAAGGCCCTCCGCCTCGGAGGAAGTCTGGGTCTCTGGGGCAGGTATGGGGATCTCAGAAGACAGGAGGCTATGGGCAGCCCCTCCAGGACATCCGAGTCCTTTCCCCAGGGACCGAACGCTTCGTCCCAGGAGCTTTTGGCAGGAAAGGAAAGCTGCTCTGGTGGAAGAGGGGGAGACCCTGTCTGGTGAAGTTGGTCCAGACACTGTCCAGCTGTTCTTCCCAAAATGTATTGCCGAGAACCAGTCGCAGCATTCTAGCTGCGGTCTGACCAGCACAGAACAGGAACAGGTGCTGATCTTGATCTCGGCACCTGGCTTGGGTTATGCAGCAAAGGGCTGGCCTTTTTGCTCCCGTGTTGCAGCTGCAGCAAGCTGTTCTGTTTGCACCCTCCACCCTCCACGTGCGTCTCCTGCTGCTGTCCAGTATGCTTCCTCCCCACCGGCCGGTGCCTTGAATTCCTTCCGCTCAAATGTAGGGTTCGTCTTTGTCTCTTTTAACATTCCTCTTGCTGGCTTTGGCCCATTGCTGGCCTCCAGAATCCCAACACTCCTCTTCCCTCTCCTCTTCCTCTTTGAGTCACCCGCAGAATCGGGTAGGTGTATCTGGTCATCTCAACAAAATCACTGACAAATGCCTTGAGCAGCTCAGGGTCCTGCAGTTTCCCGTGGCAACTTTCCCTCCAGCTTGCTCTGGATCCACCGGGTGCAACGTTTCCACTGGCTCCACCTAGGGATAGTACTGCCCAGCCAAATCAGTCCTTCACCGAGGGAGATGACAACTGGTTGTCATCAGAGCTCAGGCAAGTTGCCAGGGGAGGCCTCCCCCACCACTCCAAGGGAGAGAGGCAAGCTCCAAGCATCAAACGGGATGTAACTTGTTCCGACACAGCTCTTCAGAATTCTGACCATCAGAGGAGTTGGGCGCCTCTGGCCCAGAAAACGAGCAGGCCTGGGGAGGCTCTGGGGCTGAAAGGAGAGAGAACCCTTGCAGTGGGGGGGGGGTCCTCTTGCAAAGGGCAGAAGAAGCAGGTGAGTGCCACAGGCTGCAGCAGTTGGAGGTGTTTGGTGCTCTAGGCAGGACTATTCCTCTGCTTCCTGGCTCCTTCACCACAACATCTTGGAAAGAGCAGAGCTCCCATGTCCAACTGGAAGGCAGAACAGCCTCACCATCGTGACCTCTTGCCCTTTCCATTCGGCCTCACACCACTAAAGCTGAACTTTGGGACTTTCTTTTCTCCAGGCGGTTTTAACTGATACTTGAGTTGATTTGCTCAGTCAAATGCAGGAAGGAGTGTCGTCTGAAGCCAGACTTCTTTGCTTCTGCTGGAACTGGAGGGGGGCTGCAGGTGATAAATCTGTAGGTGTCTGCAGTGATTCATCTATATAGCCAATTGGGGGGGGGATCACTTCAAATTTGCCCCTGTAATTCAGGCTATGCCCCTGTGGGAGCTGGTCAGCCAGCATCTCCCTCCTGGGCCGGGAGCTTCTAGTTCTGGACCAAGCAGGCCAGGCCGTACAATGACCACAGAAAAGGATCTTGTCTCTCCTCCTCTGAGACCAGCCTGCCAACTGAGGTGGCCCTGGAGAGTGTTCTGGCTTCAGAAGGTCAGAACTGTTTCCAAGATGGGGAGGGCAGGGCACCCGTCTTCCCACTGAGCCCAGCCTGATTCTCCTGAGGCGCTTGCGTCTTGTGGGTCCCTTTTAAGGAGGGGGTGAGCTGCAGAAGAACCATTCTGTCCCTCTGGGCTTTAGGAAGCAAAGGGTGTGATCCCAATTGGTTCCCCAGGAAATGGCTCCCCCTCACCAGCTGCAAACCAGCCAGCCCACAGGCTTTCCTGCCCCTCCCTCCCCCCTTGCCAAAAGTAAACCTAGAGCAGTGGCCCCCAACCTTTTGGACACCAGGACCGGTTCTGAGGAGAGAGGTTTTTCCGTGGTTTTGCGTGCTGCCTGCATCCCACAGATGGAGCTTCGCTTGTTTGCGCGTCTGCCAAGCCACGGACCGGAGGGAGCCCTGGTCTAGAGCGCCCAGGATTCGCCTCCCTTTCACGCATCTCCTCCGCACTCGGAGTGCTCATTCGAGGCCCCACCAGAAAGAGCGGCCATCCTCCGCCACTCCTGCCTGGGACGGAGCTTTGCAAGAGCGACCGTCCCGCAAAGCGAACCCTTTCTTCCGGCTTGCTTTGGCCAATCCACCGCCTGTTTCCTGGCGGGGCAGGTGCGGGCGCCTCCGAGTCCGCTGCCCCCCCCCCGAGGCGAGGCTGCGGAAGCGAATCTGCCTCCCGAGCCCGTTTGCACACTTGGCCGCCCGCCAGGACTCCCGCCCGCCCGGATCCGGGGGAGGAATCCCGAAGGGGGCGGGGCTTCGGCGACCACCTCCCCCTCGCCAGGTGTGCGTGACGCAGAGGAGGCGGGGCGCCCGAGGCCCCGCCCGCCTCCGCAGCTTTCCCGAGACGCGAGGCGACGCTGCGCGAGAGCCCCCCGCCCGAGCCCGCGGACGCGGCAGGTAGAGGCGGCCCAGCCCGGGCGAGCGCGTCGGGGCCTGCCGCGAGCGGGCGAGGAGGGGAGGCGGCAGCGGAGGAAGCCGCCGCTGGCCGGGCTGGGGAAGGGGGCTGGGCCGGCCCCGGCCTCCAGCAGCAGCAGCAGCAGCAGCAGCAGCAGCAGTCCGCCGCCCTGCGGGTCCCCGCGCGGATTCCCGGAGCCAGGCCCCGCCCGCGCTACCATGGCCGCGGCGGCCGAGCCGAGCGCGGTGCCGCCGCTGCGGGACGAGGCGGAGGACGAGGCGGGCGGCGGCGACCTGGAGGTGAACCCTTTCGACGGGCTGCCCTTCTCCTCCCGCTACTATGAGCTGCTGGGCCGGCGCCGCCGCCTCCCCATCTGGGCCGCCCGCTTCTCCTTCCTGGAGCAGCTGGAGAGCAGCGCCGGCCTCGTCCTGGTCTCGGGCGAGCCGGGCACCGGCAAGAGCACGCAGGTGAGCGGGGCCGCCGAGGGCCCTTCGGGCGGCGCTTCCCCGTCGGATGAGCCGCGGAGACGGGACTTTGCCCGGGCGGGGCCTTTCCCTTCCTTGGGCGAGGCGAGCGAAAACGGGGGTTGCTGCTCTCCGAGCCGCCTTGCCGGCCAAGCCCCGGCCCGGCCCAGCCCGTGCCCGGCTGTTTGCAGAGTGACGTGGCTCGAGGCTCTGGGCGGCCCATCGCGGCGCACTTCCCGCGCTCGGGGTGTGGAGTTGCGTGCCGGGCCCTTCGAGCCCCGCAGTTGGGTGGCCTTTGAGGCGGGAGGAGAGCCTTGGAGGGGCCTGAAGGCGGAGGCCGGAGGGCAGGCAGAGTTTGAAGCTGGCCTGTGCAGCTTCTCAGCCGCCTTTCTTGCAGAGCTGGGGGAGGCTGAGCTGAGGAGGGACTGTGTTGTGGTTCCTAGTGAAAGCCCTGAGCAGAGAGTGTTGACAGTTCAAAATGCAGGACCTGCTGGCTGGGGTTGGGGCGGGACCCGATCAGCTGGGGGAAGGGGGCAGGGCTTGTGCACTGGCCCATCCTCTCTTCCAGGTGCCCCAGTGGTGCGCAGAGCAAGCCCTCTCGGTGCAGTTTGCTCACGGCCGAGTGGTCTGCACCCAGCCTCATAGTTTGGCAGCCCTCAGCCTGGCATTGCGTGTGGCAGATGAGATGGACCTCAACGTGGGCCACGAGGTGGGCTACTGTGTTCCCTACGAGGACTGCTGCGTTCCAGAGACCCTGCTCAGGTCAGTGGGACCCCTTCGCCTGGGAGCCATTTGACGTTGCTTGTGCTGGAAAAACTCTCCGTTTGGGGCAAGGGGGGCATCTGGGCTAGCAAGCTGGGCTGGCAAAGCTGCTGTCCTCATGTGGTCCATCAGAGAGAGGTTTGATGTGCTACCCCTAGCACTGGGCTTCCAGGCAGGATGAGGAGCTCCCCAGGACTCCCATCACCTCGTGGAAAGACTTTGGGCCATCATGCTCCAGTGGCTTTGAGACCGAAGTCTCTCCCTCCCTCCCCCCACCCTTTGGGGCGCTTCTCTGTCTGATGCTATTGGTTAACAAGGGATGGAGACAGATAAACCGGCCTTGGTTTAAAGGAAAAGCTTTACTGCTGTTATTAACATTATTACCATCAGAGAAAGAAAAAAAAATGCAGAAACAAGCATACTAACCCATGACTGGGACCTGGTAGCAGTTTAGAAACTGAGAGACCCCAAGGCAGACCCTCGGCACTAAGCCAGCTGGGTGACCTGGGGGCAGTCTCTTCCGCTCAGTCCTGGGAAGGATGAGGTCAGGGCAAGCGCTCCTGAAAATGCTTCCAAGAAAGCCATTGGGCTTCTCCAGCACCAGTTGCCGGGTAGCCAAAAGCCCCAGACCGACAAGCCCCCCGAGAGATCATCGTAAGGAGAAGCCCAAAAACTTCCGTCTATCAAAGGGGACCTTTGTTTTGGTGAAGGCGCCCCACTTATTCAGAAGGAGCTATGGGGACCCGGTCTGGCTGAGCGGGCCTCCATTTCCCCCAGCCCTCTCTCTTTCTGTGGGTTGTTCAGGCAGGTGGTTCCTCTGGCTCTTGCCTGGTGGGGGAGCAGATGTGTGGCCCTCTTCCATCCGAATCCCTGGGGGCAGATCGAACCTTAGCAGAAAGGAATCCCCCAGCCGAAGAGCCCCTGTTTCGGCCTCTCATTCCCCAGCCCCAACTCCTGTCTTGCAGGTTTTGCTTGGATGAAGTCCTGTTGCAAGAGATGACCTCGGACCCCCTTCTGCGGCAGTATGGGGTGGTGGTGCTGGACGAGGCTCAGGAGCGCACCGTGGCCACGGAGCTGCTGCTGGGGCTGCTGAAGGACGTGCAGCACCAACGCCCAGAGCTGCGCCTGGTGGTGGTCACTGAGCCTCTCCTGGAGGAGCAGCTGCACCATGTCTGCCAGGATGCCCCCATGGTGCGGGTCCCGGGGCTTGGCCCGGCCCCACGCATGACCTACAGAGAACCCCTCCCAGGGGGCCACATACCTGCTGCCTGCCAAGCAGCGTTGGAGCTTCATCGGCAAGAGGAGGCTGGCGACGTGATGATCTTCATGGCCAGTGAGCAGGTGGGACTTTGGGCACAGGCTGGCATGGTGCAGAAACTGCCCACTATAGCAGTGTGGCAGGAAGCTTAGGGCCCTTGGGTGGAATTTAGGGGGGTTTCTTGGCCACTTTGCAAGAGAGGACACTGAGGCAGCATTTGAGGAAGCTGGAGAGGCAGATGGGCTATGTGCTGTGTAGAACGAGAGGAACTGTGGTCAGTTGGAGAACCAGCCGTGTCCTGCCTGTGAGCATCCTTCCTGGGGTGGGGCCGCTGGTTCTGTTCAGGGAGGAAAGGAGTATTTTTTGTGTCCCTTCTTCCAGGAGATCAAAGAGTGCTGCGAGGCCCTCCGAGCAGAGGCTGCGATTTTAGAGGCCAGCCTGGGACCCCTGGTGGTGCTGCCTCTGCATGCGGCTGTGGGGAGGGACAGCCAGAAGTTGTATGAGGGCAGCCTGGGTGATCGGGCGCGCCGAGTCATTGTCACCCACTGGCTAGCAGACGCAGCCTTCTCTGTGGGCAGCATCAGGCACATCATCGATACGGGGATGGAGCTGCGCAACGTGAGTCTCGTGAGCAGGGGAGAAAGACGGAGGGTCTTCTGTGGGGTGGCCCTCCTGCCCGCTGGCCCAAAGGATGAGACCCAGTGAGCCTCGCAGGGCTCTGAGCCTGGCCAAGGCTGGCTGGGAGCTGCTGTCCATTAGCCCTGAAGGGGCCACTGAGCCCATCGGTAGAGCTGAGGCACCCCTGGAGGGCTTGGCAGCCTCCGTGTGGAAGGCGGAGTCAGCGGAGCAGCCAGCAAAGGAGCCTGTGCAAATACACACAGAGGCACACGCACGCACACAGCATTCCTGCACCTCAGATCCCCCCATTTTGTCTGTGTGGGAGATTTCAGGGGTGTTCATCCAGGCCATCGAAGTGGAGCCTTCCTTTCCCCTTTGGGTGGGGCAAGAAACGAAGGCCAGCAAGCCCTGGGTGTGCCTCCCTGGTTCTGTGGTTCCTCCAGCGGCCCTTTCCCAGTAGCCCACAAGGGGCAGCTGCCCTTGGCCCCCACCTCCCACTTGGACTCCACAGCTGTGGGTGAGAAAGAAGATACCTCCCCCCACACACATACACACATGGTCTTCTCCCTCCCTCCCTCTTGCCCAGCGGCCTCTGCCTGCTCTCTCCTGGACAGGTCTACAACCCCCGGATCCGGGCTGCATCACAGGAGTTGCGCCCCATCAGCCGGAGGCAGGCAGAAGCCCGGCGGCTCAGGGCTGCTGGTGCCCCTCCAGGTAAGCGGCTGGGCGTGGGTGTTGGCTACTCCGGCAGAGGCCTGAGGGGGCTTCCCAGGCCCTCCTCAAGTGACTGCTCTGCCCCACAGGGACCTGTTTGCGCCTCTATTCAGAGGCCAGCTACGAGCAGAGGCTGCCGGCCGTCTCCCCCACTCACCTCATGGAGGCTGACCTTCGCCGCCCCATCCTGCTGCTCAAGAGGCTGGACATTGCAGATGTGGGCCAGTGTGACTTTCTCGACAGGCCAGGTGCGGACAAAGTTTGGGGGGGATGGGGGCTGTCCCTGCCAGGCCAGCAGCAGCCATTTGGTGGACCTTTCTCCTCCAAATGAAGGTGGATCTACGTGTCCCAGGAAAATGTTTCAGGATCCGACCTTGATTGGTCAACGGGACCGGACGTTTCGTCTTCCAAACTCTTGGACTCATGCCGGAGCCCCCAGCCTCAGGGAGCCTCTCTCTGGCAGAGCGTGTCCTTTGGGCTGTTCTGTGCCTGCTATTTATATGATGTCATCTGTTGTGCGTGTGGCTTTGTAGTTGATTGGGTATGTGTCTTGATGGCACCTCTCTTTCCCCCCTCCCCCGCCAGCCCCTGAGTCTCTGATGCAGGCCCTGGAGGATCTGGATTACCTGGCCGCCCTGGATGACGACGGGAACCTCTCCGAGGTGGGCATCATTATGTCGGAGTTCCCCTTGGATCCCCAGCTGGCCAAGGCCCTCCTGGCCTCCTGCGAGTTTGACTGCGTGGAGGAGATGCTGACTTTGGCCGCCATGCTGACCGGTATGGGCCTGGGTGCCTCTGAGGCGAGACCCTCGCTGCGTAGCCCTGGGGGAGGCCCCACCCAGCCTCTCTCCCCGGCTCCCCTGAGCTCCGCTGCCCTTCCTCCCTGCAGCGTGGCCTTGTTTCCAGAGCCCGGTGGCACGCTGGGAGGACGCGGTGGTAGCACGGCAGCAGGCCCTGCTCCACCCGGCCGGGGACCACTTCACCCTCATCAACGTCTTCAACGCGTTCCACCAGCGTGAGTGCCAGGCAGAGGCTGTGGGTGGGCAGAGGCCATTGGCCGGCACTGCCCACACCCCCTCCTCCCTGTCCTTTAGAGAGCGACCCAGAAAGCTGGTGCAGGAAACATGCGGTCAGTGAGGCAGCCCTGCAGCTGGCTGGAGCGGTGCGGACAGAGCTCTTGGACGTGATGCAGCGGATTGAGCTGCCGGTCTCCCCGCCGGCCTTTGGCACCGACAGCAATGTCCTGCAGCTGAAGCGAGCCCTCCTCACCGGCTTCTTCCTCAAGGTAGAGCCCTGACCCCCACCGCTGATGGCGGACTCAGACTGCAATGGCCGGCAAGTGCACGGGGATCCTGAAGCAGGAGCCGGTCCCTGCAGAGGGAGGATCGGGCGCGGATGCTTGCCAGGCACAGCAGTGGGCTGAGAGCCAAGGTGTGGCCAGGGCTGTGATCCCAGAGAGGACAGCCAGGCTCTGGCCAGCCCAACGGAGGCCCTCTGCCACGGCCTCTCGGCTGGAGGTGCCCCCTAGCGTGAGCGAGAGAGCTGCCCCTCTTCCCCGTGTGCAGGTCGCCCGGGACATCGATGGCTCAGGCAACTACCTGCTGCTGACCCACAAGCACTTGGCCCAGCTGCCCCCCAGTTGCTGCTACCGACTGCGCCGCCCATCCCCACGGCCCCCCTCCTGGGTGCTCTACCACGAATTCACCATCTCCCAGGATAACTGCCTGAGGATTGTCTCCGAGATCCCGCCAGAATTGTAAGCTTCCCTGGGGGGGGGTGTGCGTGCAGACGCATTCTCTGCGCTCTCTCCCTGCCAAAGGGGCAGAGCCTGGCCGGGCTTTGGGGACTCCGGGCCACGCGCCAGTGCTCAGCCGGCTGCACATTTTCCTTGTCTCTAGTGTGGCTGAACTGGCCCCCCAGTACTTCCTGAGCAATCTGCCCCCCAGCGAGAGCCGGGACTTGCTGATGGAGCTGCGGGGGACGCTGGCGGGGGATGGCCCCCTTCCGGGTGAAGAGGAGAACCCCCAGCCCCCCAAAGTGGCTGAGGACGCAGGAGATGCCTGTGTGCTGCAGTGACCCTGGCGGGAGGAGGGAAGACGGCCGAGTCTGTGGCCACTGCAGGAGCCTGAAGGCTTTGGACCCGGGGCACAACCGAGGCCGTCGGAGGGCCTGTCAGACTCCTGGGAAGAGAGGGCCGAGCGGGGGAGCCCCAGACCGACCGCTTTCAGGACTGCGTCTTAGCTGGGGAGGAAAAGGGGTCCTGGCCGGCTGTGGATCTGTTGCCTGACCATGGAAGGGTCTCTTCTGGGGTCGGATGGCCTTTCGGGGGCCCTCGCCCCACTCCTCAGAGGGAGGCATAAGGCAGGTGGGCTGTTTTGGTTCACCTTGGCATCTGCTCTTCAGTTAGCGGCCTTGGCAAGCAGTGGGGTGTCCCAGCAGGTGTCTGTTTTCTCCTAGTGGGGGGGGGAGTTGTGGTAGGTTCTGGAGACTCCCCAGAACCTGATATCTGCTCAGTAGGAAAAGAAACTGCCAGATTCCCCCCCCCCCAGTTTTCCAAAGGGATCCTTTCCCTTTTTCTCAGAAGCAGTTTGTGGAGGGGGGGCTTACACTTCCCCCTCCCTTTCTTTCAGCTTCAGCTGGGGGGTCCCTGCTGAGTATCCGGAATGTTTTTGTGAACTGGGGGAGAGCCTGGGGGGGGGTGGCTCTTGCCTTTTCTGCATGTGCCTCAAAAGCGTTCCATGCGCCCCCCCCCACTCAGGAACGGCGGGTGTGTGGAGACCGGAGTGTGAACCCCAGCAGGCTCCGTGGGGCCTGGCCTCCGTCCCTCTGCTGCTCTGGACAATCCTCCTTGTAGGAATTAAATTCTTTTACACATCCAAATGTGGGTCTGATGTGGATTTGGGACTGGAGGAGGGGATGGTGGCCATCAAAGTGTCAGATGGAAACACAAAATTTGGGTGGGGGGCAGGAAAGGGGCCCAAGGTTGCCCGCCTGAGAAAGGCTGTTGGCTGGGAATGGGGCTCTGGGCCGGGGGCTGCCTGGAATAACGTCCATGTGTCCAATTTGAAGGGCTGGGGAGTTTCCTGCATGCTTTGCTGGGTTTAGGGAAGGGCCTGGGTGCGAATCGAATTCCCAGGGCATGTAAGGACTCCGTTCTGCCAGAGTCTGTCTGCAGCCATCTTGCGCTTGGCGTTCCCCTGCTGGATCAGGTGAAGGGCAGGAAGCAGCAGCTGCCCTTACTCGGCCGCCACCACCACCACCACCACCACCGCCGGTAGTGCTTGTGACAGAGGCAGCCCTGCTGGGAGGCCAAACCGGAGCCTGCTGGAGTCCAGACCTTCCGGGCCTTTCTTGACTAGGCTGCCCTCGGGGGCCGGGACCAGCAGAAACACCCTCCTGGCCAGCCTGTGTGACTCCTGGGCCAGCGGAAGCGAATGGGGCCGCCTGCTCAGCGGAGGCTGCCCGGTTCTGGCTCAAGACTTGGACAGAACCAAGACCGTCAAAGTGGGTCTGGGAACACCCTTGGGAAGCTGGAGCGCCTCCGTCCCCTGGCAGGCCCCACATGGAGCCAGCTGCCCTCAGGCAGGGCCAAGTGGAGAGGCCCTCAGGCATGGGGGGGGCGCAGGATCTCTGGTGGGGGGTGCCTGGCACTGCTGAGCTCGGCAGCTCCCTCGGCTAAAGGCCCTCCTCAGTTGGGGGCCACCGGAGGCGCTCCCGGCTGAGGAAAGCCCACGGCAGCCCCGCTGAGCCCTTATCTCTCGAGCCCTTATCTCCAGGCCCGCTTTCCATGAGGCCGGCTTCCTTCAGGGGGTGGGCGAGAAACCACAGATAGGAAGGAGTCAATGTTCGTCAGCATTTCGAGGAAGGGGGAGGGGCTAAAAAAAAAAAGATCCCGTAAGAGGTCATGTGGGAAACCCCTTGCTCTCCACCAAGCCCCTCATTTGGCTGAGGAGACACTCCTTGCCCCACCCCACAGCCGTCACCCAGCAGGACCACCTGCCTTGCTCCCTCCCAGCATCTGGGGCAGGGGGGCTGCCACGAAGGGCAAGGAGCTACCTCTCTTGAGTCAGGGGTCTGGCTGCAGCACAAGAGTTGGAGGGTCAGGTGACTGGAATCCCCCTCCCCAAAGGAACGCTTCCTCTGTGCTTGCTCTTCCGGGACAGCCGTAAGTCCTGTCTGCCCGAGGACTGGCAGGCGGGAGAGCCCGTCTCCCTGGTGTGCCCAGATCCTGGGCGCTGCAGCCGCCTCTCTTCTGGGCCAGCTGGACGTGTAGCCCAAGAAAGCAGGCTGCGGTGAAAACCAGGATCTCCTCTTCCCTGGCTTTGCCCCTTTGCGGATCTCCTTCTGTGGCTCCCGAAGCCTTTGTGTGGGGGTCCCGGGGGGGCCATGGCACCCTGCCTGAACCTCTGAGCAGAGCTGAGCCAGCACACAATGGAAGCAGCAGCCAGGGGTTGGGCTTGGTGGCTGCAAAAGGCAGTCAAGGCTAACCCACCCCAACCCCCATGGGGAGAGGGAGGGAGGCCAGAGTGCTGGGCATTTTTAAGGTGCCGCCGGGCCCTCAAAGCTTTGGAAACCCACTCTGGTGGGTGGGCTGTGGGGATTGGGCTGAAAAGGGGTGTGGCAGGATGGAGTTCCCCATGGCGGAAGAAGGCAAGAGCAGGGGAGTAGATGGGCAGGCAGGGAAGCCCCCGGGCTCTCTGGTCTGTCCGAAGCCGGAGAGTCCGGCCACGTGGACCACAGCGGTCCCTCTGCCTGAGCTTAGGAGCAGCTGGGAAGGAGTCCGAAGCGCAAGGACCTGCAGGCCCCCCCAAAGAGTGCTGAACTGGAGCTACCCAACAGTGGCCGGTCAGCTGCCCCCAAACAGGGCTGGTGAGCCATGGTGGCCACCATTCAGGTTGACTAGTTCGCCTCTCCTCGCCTCCTTGGTCCAGCTGGCCGGATTGGTGCTTCTTGCTTCATCTCCGGGCAGCTAAATTTCACAGGTGGCCTCAGTGCGCAGGTGAAGTTATCCCTCCTTTTGGCTACTGGATGATCCCCTTTAAGTGGGCACAGAGACTTAACTGTCCTCACTGAGTGTATCTCCTTTTTTTCAAGTTTTGTTTCAAGTCACATTTCTTCGTACCGAGGAATGTCCGTTCTTTGATGGCTTCTCTGACAGAAATATTGGCCAGGTTCCTGAGGCTCTTCCAAACACATTCTTCCTACTTTTCATATCTTGTCAGAAATCTTCTAGCTCAGAATCCAAAAAGCAGCTTAGCAAGTTGCAGCATTCGGTCTTTTTGTAGGGAGAATGTCCTTCGGTTAAGGTGGTGAGGGAGGGGGCCCTCGCTTTCCTGGCTAGCAGGTCCTAGTTGCTTGAATTCCTTCAAGGCTGCGTTGGGTCTCCCAGTCTGTCTGTCAGCCAGGCTCGCAGGTATGAATCTGGGGGGGGGGGGCAGCAGAGTCCTCTTGGAAGGCCACCCAGCCACCCATCGGCTGCTCCAGCTCTCTCCGTACCTGAGGTCAGTTTCTCCCGAGGCTTGGAGCTGCTCTTCCTGCAGCGTCCCTGAGCTCTTCTCCATGACCCCCTCTGCCCGGCTTCCTCCTCTGGGTGCTGCTATCCCCCTGTAGGCACCCCGACTCCAATCCAAAATTCCCCAACTCCCACGATAGGTGCGGAGGGGGGGGGCAGGCCTGCCTCCCTCCCTCCCCTTGCTTTCCCTGCCCAGAGGGCGATCGGCCCACACGTGCCGCCTCCATCTTCAGGGAGGGAGGCAAAGAGGCCAGGAGAGCCATTCCCTCCCTCCAGGCTCGGCTGATGGACCGACCACAAAGGGCCTCTCCTGGGCCTCCCCCCCCCCCGACCCTCCTGCCAGACCCCTGTGTGTTCGCTCAGTGAATCCTTTGATAGCCCCATCTTTTGATAAACCCCGTCTCCCTTCTTTTCCTCTATTTAGAATACAGAAGGCCACCCACCCCTACGGCCACTCCGGGCAGCATACAATGCAATCAGTCACAAACCCCATTTCTTTCAGAAAAACCATTAAAAAGCTGTCTCCCGTCCAGGCGCCCCCACCCGCTCCCACCCCAGGACAGCTTTCCAGGGCTCTTTGACCCACGGCCGTCTTGAGAGGGGGGGAGGTCTGGCTTCCTCTCCTTTTCTCACGGGGGTCTCGTGCTTGGAAGACGTCAGGGAGCAGCCTGGCCAGGACAGCCAGGGGCTGCTCTCGGGTTCCTGCACAGCCCGCCTCGGCCGTTGCCCTGCCCTCCGGCCCCTCCTGCTCTGCGCCCTGAAGAGGGTCTTGGCTGCCTTGGGCGATGTCTGCTGGTTCTGGGGGCCCGGAATCCCCAGGCTCAGTCATACGTACCTGGAAGCACCAAATTCTGCGGTGATTTGCAAGTGAACCACTTCCTGTTGGAATTCCTTCTTACCTAGCACTGCTGGTGTCTCATCGCCTTCAGGGGTGGCACTCAGGACAAGCCTGCCTTGGCCTTATCATGGAAACTCTGACTTGTTCTGATAAGAGTATTTTTTCTGTTACACCCCCATAAACCAGAGTGAGTAAGAATCCCTTCCAAAACACGTCCTTCCTCTTTTTCACCAGCCTCCAACCTGTGGCGTCCCAGGGGTTAGGTAGGACAGTCTTGGCAACTCCTGATTAGTCTTTAGGTTGGTGGCCAAATCCTCTGACTTCCCCTCTGTGGCTGGGATGTAGGTGCAGGGACAGCACCCACCCACCCCTCCCCCTCCCACCCCACCCCCGGGGCTGCTAAAGATGTAACTTGAGACCATGCTTGTTCCTAGCTAATGTCTTCATCAACCTTTGGGTTTACCATCCTGCATACCGTGTAGTGCAGCACAAGGAAAAATAGGTGTCAACCAATTTCTCTTAGATGCTGCTTTATCTGAGGCAGGCCTTGGTCATCCATGTTTATAGCCACGTTTGAGTGAGCCAAGGTTACCTAACAAAGATTGAGGTTCAGACAGGTGACACAACTCTAGCTGGTCCAGTGTTTCGGTGGCCCCTTGCAAGCCTCCTTCCACCATGTATCCTTCTGTCTCTCCAGACTTTCATGGCACCCTGGCATGACCCTGGCCTGCAGGCTGCCTTCTCCCAGCCTTGGCACAAGGAACGGGGTAAGGCAACTGTTCTGTCCCAGGGATGTTTTGCCATCAGGCAGAGGCATCCTTCTGGGAACTCCTCTCCACCCCCCACCTCCCCACCCCATATTTATCCTTTCCCACTCGCATCCCTTCCTTGCAACAATCTGACCCTTAGTTATCTGTTGGTCCAGGTCTGAGGGAGACCACAGAGGGTCCATCTTCTGCTGCCCCAAGAAGGAAATGAGCACAGACAGGTTAATAATTTTTATAATATTTTCCCATTTCACGGGCCTTGGAAATCAAACAACCGTGAAGCCACCTGGAAGCTGAATGAAAGGAAAGAGCAAAACGCCCATTTTGATGCCTTAGTGGGTCTGCTCATTTTCCTGGCTGGAGGTCGGTGGCTGGGGCAGCTGAGGATCTGATCCAGCAGCTCTGAGCCACTGAGCTTTTCCCTATAGAACTGGGGCTGAAGCTCCTACGTAAGACCAGACATGCCCCACCTGCCATAGGAAGGGAGAGAGCTGCCCTGTTTGGGCCCCTCGTGATCTGCGCGTAGCATCTTATTAATGCCTCAGAGGAGCTGTTAGGTGGAAGAATTCAGCTGGGCTAACCTCTCCTGCTCAAAAGGAGAGACCCTGCCCACCCTGCCGGCAGATTTTCTCTGCCTTCTCAATAGGCTCTGATGCCCAAAGGCATGAAGGTGGCCAGCTGCCTCCCCCAGACTCACAGTGGAGCCACAGGAAACGCTGCAAAAGGCCGGGGAGTCTTGCTGGACCCTGCGCTGGACAGGAGCCAACCGTGTTATGCAGCTGCAGAAACGGCCAACCCAGCTGCATCACGGGAAGTCAACTGCCAAGCTGATCAGAGGTCATCGTTCCTTTCTATTCTGCAGCGGTCAGGCCAAGCCTAGAATATCCTGTCCGGATTCTGGGCTCTGCATTTAGGAAGGACGCGGACGGGCTGGCCCGCCTGAAGGATCCAGACAAGAGCAGCCACGGAGACCAGGCGCCGGGAAAGAGCAGCCCGCAAGGAGCTGCTGGAAGCAGCCGGCCTGCCCCTCCTGGGGAAGAGCCACCTGCGGGGTACCTGGTAGTCAGAAGGGGGGCAGGTGGAGGGCAGGGCAGTCATTCCAGAAGGCGGGACAATTCTCCTAAGGGTCAGGTTCTTCCAGACCCAAAGAGGCTGCCCTGGGGGTCAGTGGATGCTTCTTGGTTGGAGGGAGGGGCAGGGGGGGAGGGAATCTGTCCCCCGGGGAATGCTGCCGTGAAACCAAGAATTTCTCCACAGGGCAGGAGGCCCAGCTGGATGATCCGGGATCCTTCCAGGCCTTCCATTCTGAGGTCCTGGAGAAGCTCTGGGCTCAAATAGCCCAGGAGAACCTGGCCAGAATTCGTGGAGAGCCCAGTCCGAGGCCCCTGTGGGTGCCCACCTTCAGCTGGGTCTTCTGCCCACCGCAGGCAATCCCGGCCTCCCTTGCAAGTGGGCCATCCTGGCTCCGGACTTCCCCGGGGTGCTGGAAAGGGAAGGACCTTCATTTTACTCCGGATCACACCCAGGGCTCCTGCCACGGGGAGCCCCCTCCCCTGGGCATCACCCCAGGCCCAATTGTCAGTGGGGCCAGGGAGGGGCCGTGAAGAGGCTGCCTTGACCCTAGGCAGTTCCCTCTCTGCAAGGGAGAGTCCCTGGGCGGGGGATGCCCTGACAGCTTCTCCCTTCCTTCCCCTCCCCTCCCCTGCCCGCCCCCTTCTCCTGTGTCAGAGTTCCTCCTTCCCCCCCCCATCAGAAAGGGTATATTAGATCAGCCCTCCTTCTGCCTTCCTCTCATAGGGCCAAACTACCCACCACGGAGAGGTAAGTGCTCTGGAGGAAGAGGAGGGGGAGCCGCCCCAGGGTCAGAAGCAGAAGCAGCCGGGGCCCTGGGGGACCCATGGGCCCCTCTGCCAGGGGCCTCGGTTGCTGCCAAGGCATCCTCAGAGGTTTCAGGGTTTTTTTTTTTCCTGCCTTCAAATCGGTCTGGACTCCTGGACTCTCCCTGCAGTTTCTTGGCAAGCTTTTCCCCCAGGGTTCGCCTGGCCTCCTCCGGCCTAAGGCTGAGAGGGAGGGAGGGAGGGAGGGGCCCCCAGCACCACCACCCCCAGGGCTGGGTTCCTCCCCTTGGCTCCAGGACCAAGGGGCACCCAGGATTTGCCTTACTTTTCTGGGAGCAGGAGAGAAATGGGTGCCCCCCCATCCCCCCCATCCCCACGCATCTTTCTGCCCACCGGGTGTTTCCAGCAGGTGACTCCAGCCAGCGTCTCCCCCTCCCCTTGCAGAGCTCGGACTGGTCTGGGCATTTTCCATGGCGGGGGCTCTGGAAGGAGGGGCTGCCCCTGAGAAGGCAGAGGCTCTCTGCCCCCCCTGCCCCCCCCCAGTTGCTGCTGCTGCTGCTCCTTGGAATAAGCCAAAGGACGGAGGGCAGCATCTCCTCGGGAGGATTCTGGCCGTGCTGGCCAGAACTGGGCTGGGGTCCTTTCAGCAACTGGGCTTCTCAGCTGGGAGGGCCGAGTGGAGGCCCAGGGACCAGATGACCACCGGATGACCGCAGGCCAGGAGGGCTGCTTTGGGGCGGGAGGAGGCCAGCTGTGCTCTTCCAGATGAGAACGTTTTTGTACTCTGTGCGCGTGCAGACATATTTTAGCCTGCAATCTGGCAAGGGGCGGGGGCTGCCTTTCATAAATGCCCCCCCTTCCCTGGCAGGGGTGGGAGCTTTGCCTGTGCCCTCTGCTTCCCATCGACAGGGCGTCCCACTCTTTGGCCTCCCCGTCTTTCTTCTCCCCCTGGTTAGAGCTTGGGGACTGCTCGGCCCCTCGGTGAGACTCGGGGGTGATGCTCAGGGGAGGGGCCGGATTGGGGCCAGGGGGCTTCCCAGCCGTGACCTCCCAGCAGCACCTCTCGCCTCCCTCCTCCCCAGCCAGGCCGGCCCCCCACAGACGCCTCTTTGCCTTGCCTCACACAGATGCTGCTGGGAAAGTGGGCAGCTTTGCTGGCCGTGGCCGTGGCCATGGAGGCCGTGGCTGCTTTTCCCTCCTCACGTAAGTGCCTTCTTTGCCAGCCTTTTTCCGGGGGGGGGGGGCTGGGAGGGCCAGGAGCCAGATATCCCGGGTCCTTTGCAGGTGGCTGTGCCCAAAACGCACTCCCTGGAGCCCCCCCCCCAAATTCCAGGGGTCTGCCCTTCTGACTCGAATGGAAAAGCCAGCATTGCCTGCCCCAGAAGTGGCGGGAAATTTCTGACAGAGGGAAAAAAAACCTCCATCTTTGGGCAAAGAGGGGCAGAAGAGCTGAGCCACCTCAAAGTTTATTCCTTTGTCTCCTTGAAGGAAAATTTGACATTCCTGCCAGGATTTAGTGAGGGTTGCAGTTCAGGTAATGAAAATGAGCAACTAAGAGGTTAGAGCCACAGGTACAATGAGGTTTGGGGGGTTAGATATGCCCAGGAGGGGGGGCAGAAGTTGGGGAGTGGGCAGAGGGCAGAGCTGCTTCCACACAATTCCCACGAGAGGGCAGCAGGCGAGGAAGGGGGGTCCCTGCTTCTCCCACCCAGGGAAGAAGCACAGAATCGGGGGGGGGCAAGGGGGAGGCCTTCCTGGAAGGACAGGGGCAGCCAAGCCCTGCCCTGCGTAGAGTGAGGGCAGAGGGGGGGGCTGAGAGGGGCCCTGTGGCAACGGGTGCAGCATCCCATCCTCTGCTGCTCTGGGAAACACCCCGTAGGCTTCCCTCACAAAGCCCCTGCACCCCAAAATGTGGGGATGGGGGTGCAGCCTAGAGAAAAAAATCTCTGGCCACCCCAGTAACAGCCCTGAGTGGGCAGCCCTGAAACTGCTTCGGGGCTAAAAGCCGCCAGCCTGGCAGGGCCCCTTCCGGCCCCGCTGACTCTCCGCTTTGGGGTTTTGCCCCCAGTGCTGATTGGGAAAGAATATGAAACCATAACCCTGACCTGCTCCAGTTCCCCTGGAGAGCAAGTGGAGTGGAAGTGGAAGGGCGACACGCAGCAGGAGTCAGGCCGAGAGTTCGTCATCTACAACATGGACTTCCCTTTTGCCGGAAACTATTCCTGCTGGGCCGGATCCCGGCTGCTGGAAAGCTTCTATGTGGCCCTGGGGGTTCATCACAGCTACTTCTTCAAGGCGGAAGGTGAGCGGGGAAGGGAGGGGAAGAATCCCTTGGGGGGGCTCATTCCCAGAGCCCCAGCTAAACCCCAGCCTGGTTCTCTGCCCCATTTCCCCACCGGCCTTCTGGTCTGGCCTTCAAAGCGGGGAGGGGGGCAGGCCTGGGCTGCTCTTCTGTCCCTCCACCCTGGCCCCTTCCTGAAAACCCATCCCAAACATCCCGGAAAGCCTGAGGAGCGCCTCCATCTTTGCTTGTAGGGAACATGGGGGGTCTGTCTCGCCAGCCCCCCAGGGATGACAGGAGGATGACAGCCACTGCCTGGGGAGGATGGTGGGATGGGGGATCTCTTCCAGCTGGGGATAAGCAGCAGTGGGGGGTTCTCTTTCGGCGCAGCTGCCTTTCTTGCTCCAGATTCAGATTCTCAGGGCACCCCCTGTGGGTGGGAGATGCCCCGGGGGCTGCCACAGGAAGAGGGGCCTGGACTCGCCCTCAGTTCTTTTCCCTGGTTCTTGCAGGAGCAAAGGAAGAACCAGAAGAACCGGCCATCACCTGCTGGGCTACATCGTACAGCGGCACCTTGAGCTGTTCCTGGAAGTCTCAGAACCCGGCGACTTTTCTGGCCCACCTGAAACACAAGTTAGTAGCCCCAACCCTCCTCTCTCTTCACGGTGCACCGAGCATCGCAGCGAGGAAAAGGGGGTCTCTGAGCATGTGGAGAGTCTCCGTCCACCACCGCGGCAGCCAGCGAGGGCTCCACTTCTGCCTTCTCTTTGCAGAGACACAGAGGCTGTGCTGTGCCCCTCCACAGAAGTGGCTCTCCTGGGGAACAGAGTGGTGGATATCCAGTTCAACAATTGTTCCTTCTGTCCTTACGCGGAGGAGGCGCCCCACACACCCCTCCTCCTGGTGCTGAGGGGGCTTTCTGAAGATGGCGGCGGCTACAGCGAAGTGAACAAGACTTTCCTCTTGCGGGATATCGGTATGGATGGCACCAGCCCCCCCCCCTTCTCATGCAGGACCCCATCCCGGGCCTTGGAAGGCCCAACCCAGCGGTCTGGCCTGAGTCTGCCTGCTGTTGCATCTGTTTCTCCCCCCCCCACACACACACACACACTTCCCTCCTGCTCCTGCAGGGGGGCTCTTCCCCAGGCGCCCCCCCTGCTGGCAAGTGGCCTGAGGCCCAAGGGACACTGCCCGGGGCTCGCAAATGTCCAGGCTCGCCTTCTGTCGAGGTCCACTTGAGCAGAGCATCTTCCGCCATAACTGACATCTCCTGCCTTAGGAAGGAAAATCTGGGGAGGGTCTTTTCAAGCCGGGTCTCCTTGCAGGCTGGCTTTTCCACCCTTTGTGCTGGGCCTCTGGAGGGAGGGGGCAAGGGGGGGTGGCTGGACGAGGTCCGACAGGATCCCTGTTCTCCTTGCAGTGAAGCCCGATGCTCCGGCCTACCTGAAGGTCACAGGGCAGACGGTCTCCTGGGCTCCCCCAGCCTCCTGGGACCTGCCCGCCACCTACTTCCCCTTGCAGTACAACCTCCTCCTGGAGTCGGCTTCCGGCAGCATAGAGAACCACCTCCTCCTCGTGAGTAAACCTTTGGGGCTTATCATCCGTCACATTGAAGGCTGCTCTGGACATCTTTGAGAGCACAAAAAGCCTCTCGGAATGATAAAGTGTTCAATGGACTCGGCGTAAACCACGGGTCTTGGGGTGAAGCCGCCAACGGACTATGCTAATCCCCCACCCCCAGCAGCCAGCGGGCCAGGCGCCAGCTGACAGCCCCCAAGCAGAGACCTGGGACAAGCTGCCCAGCATCGCCCCCCCCTCCATGCTGGTATACTGCCACTGCATGGGGATGCTCTGCTGAGCTGCAGCAGCTCCTTCCATGGCCGTACAGTCTGCAGGGCTGCCTAAGGAAGCAGGATCCTCCTTGTAGTTGTGCAGATGCACAATGGGCGCAGATGCCGCCTCCGGGTCAAAGGGAGCAAGGACAACCCACCTTGCTGGGCAGGCCCATTGGCCCCTCTGCCTGCCCCCCCTTCCCCTGGTTCAGCCGGGCCCTCTTTCCGCTGCAGGCCAAGAAGGAGCTGACCAGGAAGCAGAATTGGAGCAAGGCGCAGATCCGCTGCCAGGACCCTTTGATCAGCTCATCTTGGAGCTCTTGGCAGGAATGGAAGAAATGAGGACATCAGCCGGAAACTCTCCCACCCTTCCCCCCTCCCCTTCCCTTCCCTCTGCAGCTCCAGCTCCCCACCCCTCCCCCACCCCTCCCAGGTGCAGACTAGGAGTGAGCCATCGCAGAAAGCCTCTTCAATCCCCCCAGGGCAAAACCCACCAAGAGGCTCACCTGTCTGCCCGAAGATTTGTCCAAGGACAACCCAATTGAGGGGGGGGAGCTTTTGTGAGGAGGGTGAAGAATCACACACACACACACACACAGGCATGCAGGCCTTGCACAGCATCAGGGCTCAGCTGCCTGTCAGAGTCTGACTTCGCCTGTTTAACACCAACTTCACTTCCCCCAAAACCTGCTTGGGAATCGGATCCTGAGGGTTTCCCTCCTCTCCACCCCAGGGGGTGTCGGAATCTCCGCCTTTCCACTCCTTGGGGTCCCTCCCTCTTGGAGAGCAGGCAGCCGGTGATCAAATAAAGTTTGGTTCTTGACCTCAGCTTCTGTTCCTTCTAATTACTTGGAAGCCTGGTGATGATGTGACCTAGTTGGGTAATGAAACGTCTGTGTGTCGACCCCACAGTTCAGCCCTGAGCTGCAGAGATTCACTTCAGCTGGAATGGATCCAGCTGCAGGATTAGCCTCCCTGGGCTGCCCCCGGTGCCTCCACCCCACCACGGCCGCCACCACCCCATTGCAGGCCTGCCACTCTCACCCAATTGAGGGCTTCTGCTGCTTTCTGCCAGGGCGCCCCTTGCCAAGCCAGGAGCCCGGTGCAACAAAGCTTCTCTGCCCACCCAGGTGGGACAGACTCCAGGGGCCAAGCAAGCCCAAAGCCTCTGTCCGAACCGGGCCTCCTCCCCAGCCACTGTCCAGGAGCCAGAACCCCCGGGGTACGCAGGGCTGCAAGGGTTGGGGCAGCAGGCTTCTCGGAGGCCGGCAGGGAACCCCTAGTCCAGAAGCGGCACCAGCTCGGCTGTTCTTCTCACACACATTCAAAGGGAACCCAGTTTAGCCATTCTATTTTTTAATTATTTGTACAAGAATGTATTTAAGCAGTGGCATTTTCTGTAAAACGGATACACAAATCAGCAACTGCTCAGGAACTTGCTTTTCTGTGTGTCATCTTCCTAGCAGAACTGTTCTAAATGGCTGCTTTTAATAGTGTGGCTTTATAGTATTTTATTTATTTATCAAATTTCTATACCGCCCATCGCATGTGTGTGCCTTGGGTTGTTTACAAATAAAACAGTAAAAAGCTGTTTTGAAAAACAAATTAAAAATCACATTGAAACGAAGCTAAAAGGGTCAATTGCAACTTTAAAAAGGCAGAACAAGCACCGTCAGCCCACCAACCCCCCCCAAGGGCTGCATGCCACTCTTGGACCCCAGGCCAGGTGGCAGAGCCAGATCTCAATGCCCTTCAGAAGGCGGGAGGGGGCAGCTATTTCACAGGGCAGAGGTGAGAGCAGAGAAGGATCCCTTCCTACCCTCTGCCAGTCCACGCTCTTTCACCAAGGGAGTCTGTAACACGCCCTGCCTGCCTGCCTGCCGGCCTGCCCTGGTGGAAGCAGAAGATGAAATTGGGACGAGCCGGTTCCATGGGTAACCTGGTCCCGTGCCATGGAGGGATAGAAAAGTCAGGGCCAACACTTCAGATTGGACCTGGAGGCAAACTGGCACCCAAAGCTGCTCACCTAGCGGGGGGGGGGGGTGTTTCACCTGCAACCCTCACAGCATCCAAACTGCTGGCGTGGCCACATTTGGCACCACAAACACCAGAGACTGTTTGTTCACCTTAATTCTCTGGCCCAGACCTGGACAGGAAGGCAAGTCCTTCCAGTTGCCCATCCAGCATTTCCAAGAAGGCAGCCTCTGTCCCAACCAGGCCTCCTTTCGCTCTCTGCAGGCCCGAAGACTGTCCGGTCCTGCTTCCAGGCCATGTGCCCGCCCTGCCAAAGGCTTTTCCGGCTCCTGCCCTGCGGAGCACCCTGGACTGGCCCTCCTGCCCCCTCCTGCCTAGGGCACAGAGCCCTCCCCCCTGGCAAGGAATTCCTCCGGGGGGACCCTCCGGACCTAGCAAGACTCCCAGGGCGCCAGCAGCCTGAAAGGGCCGCCTGCAAGTCCAGGCTTCTTTTCCTGTGGGCCAACTCGGTTGCTCCCAGCCCTGCGAAGGTAAATATTGCAACCGTTTACAGTGTCAGCATGTTGTTGCTCCCAGCAACCGGAAGGACGTGAGGCTGAGTCAACCTCCAGCCCACCAGAACCTGGCTGTGGGCAGAGACAGCCTGTATTCTAACCGCAGAACCATCAATTTTATTAATTTACAACCTAAAAGCAATATTTCGAACAGCAGTAAAGAGCAAAGACTCTCGGTGGGTTGCCTTCATTTTGGAATTAAGAAGAAAAATGCTAACTTAAAGATTTTTAATATAACACCAGAAAGCTAAACAAGACTGTGTTTCAAGTAAGTTTTAAATGGACAAAGGGGATAGATATTTTAGCAAACAGAATTTATTTTCTGATAAAAAATACTTTTCAAAATAACAAAATTAATTAGACAGCTCTGATCTTCATGGAAATTTTGAATTTGAAAATAAATTGGAGAAAACATTGGCATATAAATTGCAAAAGAAAAGAAAGTGATATTAAAGTTACAAGAAGGAAATAATGTAATTAGAGATGATGCAAATCTGCAAAAAGTGTTTCATCAGCATTATACGAGGGGTACTTTAGATAAATATCCTTGGAAATATCCCTGGAAAAAGTGGAAGAAGACTACAGAGAATCAGAGGAAATATTTGAATGGACATACAAGGGAACTCTGTGAAGTTATTAATAAAACTAAAACAGGAAAGGCTCCGGGTACAGATGGGTTGCCAGCCTCTTAGTATAAAAGTTTTGAGGATGAGCTTTTAATTTTTACAACAAACAGTTAATATTATTCCACAGAATGGAAAGATTCCTAATAGCTGGAAAGAGGCTAATACAGTATTAATATCTAAAGAGGCACAAGACTGACTAGTGAAAAAAAATATTGATCAATATCTTTATTGAATAATGACTATAAATTGTTTGTCACAATTTTGGCTGAAATATGGGAGATTATTATACAGGACTTTAATCATGAAAATCAATGCAGTTTTTTATCTAAAAAAGATGATTATCAGAAATGCTTTGGATGTTCTGGACAACTGAAAGTACATAATAAAAAACAAACTGCACTGAAATTCTTAGATACAGAGAAGATTTACAATTTGAATTGGATTTTTTTGTTTAATGTTCTGGAAGATATGAATCTCGAAGATAATTTTATTAAATGGATAAGATTGATTTATACTTCACAGAAAGCACAAATAATTGTTAATGGAGAACTAATGAAAACCTGTGAGAGTAAAAAATGAGCAAAACACGGATATTTGCATTGCAAAATTTTGCTCATTTCAGTTCTTGAAGTATTGAATAGAGATATAAGACAGAAGGAGAGAATCACCAAACTTAAGATTTAAAATGAAATTTATGAAATAAGGGCCTTTGTGGTTGATTTGGTGTTAATTTTGGAAGATCCACTAGAAGGAGGTAGACACATGAATGGGGAAATGTGGTATATAAACAGGTTTTAAGATTAATAATCAGTACATGAAGATGTTAAAAATATAAAATTAGAAGATCAAATAATTAAAAAAAATACTTGGATATCACTAGGACAATATGAATTGTATGTCAAAATAATTATGTTGCAACTTGGAATTAAATTAAGAAGGACATGTTAAGATGGGAGAAATTAAAATTAGAATCAGAATCTTTCTGATAAAAATGAATGTTTTGCCTAGAATTATATTTTTATTTCAGACAATACCTTTTTTGATTACTGATATATGACAAAAATATATATGTCGATTTGTATGGCAAGGGAAAGTATAATATAATATGTTAAATATAAAATGTTACAAGATGCGAAGGAAGGAGGAGAATTAGTTCACCGAAATTACTTGTTGTTTGGTCTGGATAAAGCAATGGGTGCTGCTGAGAAATAAGAGACTTTTAAAATTAGAAGTTCATGATCTGAGGCCTGGAAAGCAAAGATACTGATGGCATGATAAAGTTAAAATTAATGTGGGTTTTAAAAATCATTTGATTAGACATGTCATATCGAGAATTTGAATTTGAAATATAATTGTGCACTGATTATAAACATGTAATTGCTAAAATGTACAAACTGTTGTTGAAATTTGAAACAGGAATAACAGAAAAATGTATGAGCATGTTGCTTATAATATACAGGTGGATCCATGAGAAAATATGTGGTTAAAAGAACTGAATTTTCCATTTTGTTATGATCTCAAAGAGAATTTTTATAAAATGATGTATGATTGGTATATAACGTCAGAGAAAATATTGAGGATGTATAAAGGCACTTCAGATAAAATATATATGGAAATGTGAACTACATAAAGGGACATTTTATCGTGGTGTATATGTAAAAAACCTTAAACATTTTGGGCTGAAATGCATTCAGAGGATTTTAAAGATCAATATTCAATTGTAGCTGGAACTTTTCCTTTCAGGATTAATAGATAAACAGAAAAAAATGATGGAAGATTTTTTTTTTCAATATATGATTACTGTGGAGAGATTATATGAATAAAGATGGAAGGATTTGACTCTACCCACTGGGGAAGACTGTTGGTGAAGTTGATAGGCTTTGCTGAAATGGATAAATTCTTTGAATAGAAGAAAAGGCAGTATCTACATGCATTGGTGACTGGAAGGCTTTTATAAACTTGTTGCATAAAATGGAGAAAGGAACTTTTTATGATTAGACAGGAGCGATGACAGAGAGGAGAGAGACATGATGTAATTTTAGAGAGAGATTAAAATATAATTGTACTTATAACTGCTGTGAAGAATATTTGAAACCATTTCTTGGTATCTTCATATTTTTCTTTATATCTTGCTCTTTCTGTTTCATTTTTAGTTTTCATTTCTCATTGCACTTTTATGTTACTTCTTTCTTTTTCATGTTTGTCTGTTTTGATTTAATTTATTGTAGTTCTTATTACTGTTCTTAAAATTTTTACTAACATATGTAATAATAGAGAACAGTAATTGTCCTTTCCAGCAGGCACAAACATTCACACAGACCCTGCAAGACGGGGGGGGAGGGCGGGGCGGGGGGGGGCAGATAATCCTTCTGGTGAAAAGGGGCGACCCAGCCTGGTGTTGAGCCCAGCTCCTTCCTGGGGGAGCCCCCCCCTCCCCAGGTGCTCCACTCTGCCCTTTGCAGTGGAGAAAAACCTCACAAACACAATGGAAGCCGCACTCTCCCCCCCCCAACCCGGCTCAAGCCCACTTCATCCCTCTGCCTGGTCCCATCAGAGCCAAACTGACCTTAAAAAGGGGGAAACCCCACAGAAGCCCCAGCCTTCCCTCCTCCATCAGCTGATGACTTCAACATGCCTTCTCAAGGGGCTTCCCCAGCTGGGCTGCCCTCCCGAGGGTCACTTTTGTCCAATCGCAGACCTCACACCCCCCCCAGGCACCTGGCCAGGACTTGCCCAGCTTGCCCAGACTGGCCGGCCAGTCTGGAATTTTCCACCTTGTAGCCCTAAACCTCTACAGAAATCTTTTCCGTCCTTGTGGTAGAGTAGGGACCCAGTGGTGGATCGTCGCAACACGCAGAGTTCTCGTCCTCCTCCTTCGGACTGAATCCACAGCAGCCTCCTCGGCGTAAAAAAGCTTCCCGGGCGCCTAAAAACCAAAGGCCGGTCTCTGCAGCCTCAAGAAGGGCAGGCCGATCCCTGCGCAGAGCTCCCTGCGCACCTGCCCTGGTACCAGAAGGCGCAACCAGAGGAGGGGGCCTGAATGAAGGAGGCGGCGCTGCTGCTCCGGGTGCTCGGCCTCCTGCCCAACCGGCCGGTGCTGCGAGCGCTCCTTCACCTGGCCGCGCAGCAAAGGTGGAGCGACGCCAAAGAGTTTCTTGCCTCCCAGCTCTCCGTCTGGACGCCAGGGGGCGCACCGGCCCCAAGCAACTCCGCCTGCTCCGCGCGATCCCTCCAGCGGCCGAGGTCAGAGCCCGCCCCAACCGCTGGGACGAGCTCCGGTCCCCGAAGTCCTGCCTTGCTCCCCAGAGGAGGCCAGGGAGCTCCGTCGTGGCTCCTTCTCCTGGGCCCCCAGGTTCAGCCTTCGGGTCACCCAGCCATGCCGGGGGGGGCAACGGCCAGGCCCGGAAGAGGCAAAGCTCGCTAGGAGAACTACCAGCGGCCCCGGGCCCACCCTCCCTCCCAGCCAGGGGCAGCAAAAGCAGCTGCGGATTCCCCGAGCGAAGCTGGAAGGAGGGCGGAGCAGAGACTCCGCAGGCAGCAGACTCCACGCTGGCGGGACGGGCGCCTCGGCTGGTGCTTTCTCAGCGGTCCGGAGGGGCTGGGGGTGAGGGGCTGGCGTCCGGGAATGAAGGAAGCCCTCCTGGACGCGACTCCGGGCTGTCTGACTCCGGCTGCAGAGACGGCGACATTAGGAGCCCAAACCGCAACTCCTGCGCCCTATGCGGTGCGACAGACCCCCGCGGCCGCTTCGGGCCTGATCCTGGGGCAACTCCGGCAGAGCAGCAGGAACGCAAGAGCCAGAAGGGGATGTGGTCTCTACTTGGTCCACGCGGCTGGCCGGAGGTCGCCTCTGCCTCCCGCGCAGTCATTTTGCGAGCTAGCGCCGATCCAAAAGATCTCACTAATCTTCATCTGGCTACCTGGGCAGGTTCCACGGGAAGAACTGCTCGCTTTGGCGAAGAGGCCGGCTTTCAGAGGGGAGAGGTGGATGTCCCGTTCCCCACTCACGACCCAAGGCACTCAAAAGGAAGGTCGTGGGAAGTGCCGGGCGGAGGAACGGGGTGACCGCCCCCTCCCCATCTGCCTTGCGTTGGGCTCCAACTTCCTGGGCTATCCGTGCAGAGGGCCAGGCAGCCTTCAACCCTCTCTAAGCCCCATGTTTCCTGTGGGTGCGGTCTGCAAGCACCCAAGGCCGGCTAGAACCCGGCTGCCCCTAACCGGGCCACTTGCCACCTGGAGTCTGGGGCTTTTTCTGCCGGGCGGAGGGCTCGGGAGACGCCCCGATGAATCCACTCGGTTCCGAGCAAGCTGCTCCCTGGCAATGAGCGGCGCGGAAGTGCAGGATGCCCCTGGCAGCCCGTGAAGCCGCCCCCAGGTCTGTGCATGGCTCTGCTCACACCAGGGTGGCGGCTCCCGAGACTGAGGCGACCTCGTGGTTCTCTGCCCAGGGCTGCAGGTTCTGCAGGGCGAAGAGCGAGGCGTTGTGCAAACAGAGAGGGTCCTGCTGCAGCGGCTGCCCCAGACTCTTCGGGAAGGCGTCTGGCTGGAGCTGCAGCATCAACCGGCTGGCCTGCTGGCGCTCCGCTTCGCGGTCCTCCGCAGTCTGTCGCCTGTTGGAGAGACCGGAACGGCGTCAGCGTCTGAAAGCATGGAGGACACGACGCCCAGTTGGCTCCTTGGAACCGGTAAGGGGAAGGGAACTCTGAGCATGAGCAGAAGGGAGTTGAGTTCCCACTACGCCCGCCACCGGCCCGTTACCCCAAACCCTCTGCGGGTGCTTGGAGCGTCGGCGCCTCCCTTTCCCAACTTAGCCCCTCCCGGCACGGTCGCTGGAAGAGAAGCGCTCTAAGCAGCCATCCGACCGCAGCCCCCAGCAGAGGGAGAGGCCCCGCAGCCCATCCCCCGGCGCCTTCTGCGCAGCCCCTCCCGCCGGCCCGGTACCTCCATTTTGTGCGGCGGTTCTGGAACCACGTCTTGACTTGGCCGTCGGTCATCTTGAGCGCTTTGGCTAGGGCGGCTCGCTCTGCGGAGGCTAAATATTTCTGCCGATGGAACCGCTTCTCTAGTTCGCAGATCTGCGCTCGGGAGAAGGACGTGCGCGGCTTCTTGCGTTTGGGCGGAGTGCGATTCTGATACGGGTGGCCGACCCGCCTGGCCACGGAGAAGGGCGGCAACGCGGCTACGGGCAGACCGAGAGAGCGGAAATCCTCAGGATTCGGAACCCGAAGCAGATCGTGTCGCTACGGAGACCTCAGTTTCCGGGATCCTCCCCAGGACGCGCCCCACGATGTTCCGTCAGCCCCCGAGAACGAGAGAAGGGCGGGTGGTCTCCCTACCGGAGGGGGCGGTGGGAGCGATCGCGGCGGTCGGGCTCGCTCGATCAGCGATTCAGCTGCGCGATCCACAACGCAAAGAGACCGCCGCTTGGCTCCCTAGACTGGTGGTGCTTGGGACTCTTCCGGGGGGGGGGCTCAAAGAACCCCACTTTTCTATCGCAGCCAGGAGCCTGGAGAGCCGGGATGAGCCAAGCGCCGCCCCAGCGTCCCCCACCCCAATGCAAGCCTGCTTAGCAAAGACTAGTTGGAGCCAGATAGAAGTGCGCGCTTCCCCCGCCCCAAGAAAGCCGTTCTGGTTCCTCCCGACCCTCTCAAAAGCAGCTTCCTCGGGGCCGCTCCCTGATGACCAGGCCCCGATGACCAGTCGCCTTTGCCCTCGCCGCTCCCAAAACTGGTTTCTTTCTAGGGCAGCTTCGGGAAAAAGTTCCCATTTTCTGCTCTGTATGAAAAGGCTTTGTTCAGCCTGGCCGTTTCCCCTCCGCGGCACTCCGCGGCCAGCGAAGGCCAGCCTTCGTGCGTCGGCTCTCTTAGGAAGCCCTCCGGGCCCGCGTGCGAAGGGCCGGGACTTCACTCCTCCGCCCGTCCCACCCCCACCCCCACCCCCAGGGCTGGGAATCAGCCTGCTTGTCCCGAGTTCCACTGGGACCCGCAGGACGCGCCGCGCTCCCCACGTTTGCCCAGCGTTTCTGTACAGTTGAGCCCCCGAGCCCCGGGCTTTGGCCGAAGCTGGTGGGGCCAGGCCATCGCCTCCTCGAGGGGCTCCGAGCCGCGAACGCCGCTCACCTGCCATCCGGTCCTTGGTCAGTCGCCTGCTGTGCTCCATCCAAGGGAAGGCGAGGCTGGCTCCCGATGGCCGAGGGTGGACGGCCACGGAGGGAATCGGACGGTGCGCGGGCACTCGGATCACCCCGCCGTTGCCGGCCGAGGCCTCCGGGAGGCCGTACGTCCCGAGGGAGCACGCGGGGCCGTAATCCGCCTCGTAGCCGCCGCTGCTTTGGAGGTCGGCTTCCCCGAGGCCCCCGTGGGCTACTGTTTCGTCGGCGCCGCTCTGCTGCGGAGGGCAGCCCAGGATCTGATCGATACCGAAGCGAATGGGCTCGGGGGGCTGCGGCGGTGCAGGGCCCGGCTCCCGCTCCAGCCCCGGGCCTTCCATCCCACGCCCTCAGCAGCTGGCGCGGCTCTCCCCGACCGCCGTCCGGCTGCCCTGTTCTGCGCTCAGGCCCGCCGCTTCCCGGGAGCCACGCCCGGAGCGAGGCCGCCCCAAGTTCCTGGAAGGCCACATCGCGCTTCGGTCAGGGGCCTGCAGGGGGCCCGTCGGAGGGCCACTCGGACCAACGCAAAGGCGCGGGCTGCTCCCGAGAAGACGGCCGTCCGGTCGCCTCCGCTCGGCGCCTGAGCGCTGCGGGAGATCGCAGGGGGCCCCCGGCGCTGCAGGCGTTTTTCTCCGGGAAGCCATCTCCGCCTGCCAAAATGCCCTGGCTTCAGCCCTCTGATTGGTGGCCGCTAGCAGTGATTGACAGGCCATTGCCAGGGGGTGGGGGCGGGTCGCGGGTCAATTCCAGGAGGAACCGCCCGTACCTCGGTTTTCTCCGCCTATGTGCGCCACCCCCCACCCCGCAATGAGGGGGGCCGAGGAGCGATTCTCACTTTCTCAACCTCTGCAAGGCCACAGTTCCCCCTGCAGACCCGAAAGCTCCACCCGGACAGCCCAGGCGCTGCCGTTCATCCAGACAGCCCCTTTTCCCTCGGACGTGGGGCTGGAGGAACCTAGCCTCGGCTACTATCCAGCCTCGCCGGCCCTTTCCTGCCTGGTTCCAGCGCCCGGATTAGCAGCTCTCTTGTCGCGGAGGTCAATGGTCGCTTTTCTCTTCAATGAAGGGAAGCCAGCCGGCCAGCCGCCTTCGCTTGCGGACTTCCTCCCCCCCCCACGCCCGCTCATCTGCGCCCGATCCCCAAAGCCCCGGTCACGAGTCCTGGCGGCGGCTGCCTTTGCTCCGGGGGTGTCCCTGTCGCCCTACCGGGAGGTCCAGTGCAAAGCCGGGAGTCAGCGGTTTTAAGGGGCCGGTGATGGCCGGGCGTTAGAGGAAGCTCTCCCCTTTTCTCCCCAACCCGGTGCAAACCAGATTCACCCTCTCCGTTCTCCATGAAGTAGTGACAGCGCAGGAGGGACATCAGCCCCCTCCCCCTTCCGTGTGGTCACCTCGGGCCCTTAATGAGCCTGGTTCCCCCTCCAGGCTGAAGGCGGAAACGGCCGGGGGGGGCTCGCCGCCCTCTCGACCGCTTCGCGTGCGGAGAGAGAAAATTCCACGCTAGAAACCGCGAAACCTCGGAGGAGGTGAACGTGGAGCAGGATCGAGACGCCTCGGCCACCTGTCCGTCCAGCAGGCTCCTTTTGCATTCGGATCCCACCTTTGTTTTCAGCAGCCTGAAATCTCTTTTCCTTGCAACCCCCCCAAACAAAACAAAACAAAACAAAACAAAATAAAACAAAACGGAACAGCGAGTGGCTGCTGGGCGGGTCCGAATCGGCTATAAACTTCCTGACCGGTTCAACATCCGAAACTGTTTTTTACCTTGGAATAAACATTCAGGATCAGAACAGCAGCGACGAAACGGCGCGAGGCGTGACATGAGAGGCCCCAAAAGGTCATTCGGAACTCCTCGCGGTCGGAGGAGCTGCCCGCCTTGGAAACCCGGGTCCTCAAGTCGCCACAGAAACGTGCACTTGAACCCTGGAGCGGCCGGAGAGGCCCCAAGGGAAGGAAGGGGCGATCAGAACTGAAGAAGCTTCTTGGGTGAGAAGCGAAACGTCTTCAAGGAAAAACAAAGTCCAGTCGCCTCTTGAAAAAGCCCCCTTGGGACAGCCCTGACCCTGGAGGGCGGAGAAGCCCCCACGGACACTTCGGAACAAGCGGGCACAGCCAGAGGAGCCCCGGTAGGCATCGCGGCAACGGTCACCCTGGGGTTCCGAGTTTGTCATTTATGTAAATGTTGAAGCAGTTTACAATAGTGCGGGTAAAATGTGGAATAAGTAATCAGTAATAATGAAAATGGTAATAAAAATAAATCCGTTGTTAGACTAATTTTGATTGGAGCCTTCGGAGTCATAATTAAAGGACTTCCTCGCTATTTGGAAATAGTGATTATCAACATAATTTTACAAAACTAATATTTTACAAAAAATAACCCACCCTGCCTGGAATAGCCCATATTCTTAGAGGGTCCTCGGCCGGGACTTGACTTACTAAGTTTCCTCCAGTCTCAGACGGTGAATCTCACTGCAGAATAACCGCCAATAACTACAGTCGCAGCGGCTGCTGCAGCTCAGTGCGAACAGGCGGAGGTCGGTCTTCTCGTCCCCCGGGTTTGCCAGCAGAAGCCGCCGAGACCCTGCCCTCTGCGCCCTGGCTCCCCTCCCCGCGCCCTTCTGGAGCCTCCCTCGGGCAGCCGAGAAAGAGGGAGGCTGCGTCCAGTAGCGGGTCCCCGCGTGCTTGGAGGGAAGGACTGGCGCGGGGAAGGGGCTCCGAAAAGAATCCAGGGAGGGCCGGAGGGGGGGGCCGTTTTGGGCTGACGCAGCCTGGCCCAGCTCCTGCCCCTCCCTCAGTGGTTTGCGCTAAGCCGGGAAAGGTGGTTTTCTCTTCCTATCGGGCCCGTTCCTGGTGGGCGACCTTGTCTGCCCCTAACGAGACAGGTAAAGTATGCAGGAAGATGAGGTCTGTAGCCAACAGTCTTCCGGGGGGGGGGAGGGTACACTAGTACAAAAAAGGGCAAGTCTGTGCCTGTTGGTTTGCAATTAACGGGGGTTAATCATCTCCCCCCCCCGCACCCCAGAGCAAGGCAGAAAAAGGAGTGTGGGCAGGAAGACAATTCGGGAAGGCGCGCTTTGCCGCGGTTCTCCCTGCAGATCAGCAAGGGAGTCACGGAAAGCAGGGGGAGGAGAAGCCCCCTCCCCCCCCGCCCCTTCCAGGGCAGGCCAAGACGGTTGCGGAGGTTGGAAGAAGCAGCCCTTTCTTGGCCATCTGGGACTTCAGTGGGCCCCGGCCGTCGGATGCCGGCCTTCTCCCACCCTCGGCCCAGGTCTGTGCTGAACAGGCCCTCCCTCCCCTTTGGGAAAATAGCCCCGGCCAGCCGTGGTGTTTAAAGGGCCTTGCGCCGCAAGAAGGGCCAGGATGGCTTCTTCCTGCCAGTCTTCAGCTGCCTGGCATGTAGCAGCGCCTCTGCCCCCCCCCCGCGGTGAACTCCTCCTTCCTCAAGGCAATGGCCTGGATGGAGAGGCGGCCCTCGGGGAAAGAGCCCAGGGAAGCCCAGGGGGTGAGAAAGGCTGCCCTGTTTCTGGAAGAAGAGGGAGGGAGGGAATGGGGGGGGGGCTGGCAGCCTTCAAGGGCCTCTTGTTAGGGCGACGAATGGAGCCGAGTTCTGCTGCTTCTTGCCAAGTGCGTTTCCGCCTTTCAGAGGGTGGCTTCCTTCAGTCCCTTTGGTCTCTCTGGCCAGTGTCCAGTCACCATGGGGTCTGGGGCAGCGAAAAGGGCAAAGAAGGGAGGGGGGCAGGGGCTGTGGAGCAAACCACCCACTTTTGGGCCATCGACTAAGGAGCAGTGATTCCAAAACAGGTTTTGTGTTTCCTAAATTAACGCATTTCTGAGATTTGCAGAATGGCACAAAGCAACTGACTCACCCAAGTACCGGAAGGGTCCTTACTAAGGAGACAGTTGTGAGCCCCGTTTCTGCCACTGGTTGGAGCAGCATTCAGTTCTCACCCAGATCCCTGCAGGGCCCTGTCTGGTTCTCCCCCACCACCCATGCTGCAGCTCCCCACTGCAGCTGTCGCATCCAGCCTGTGGCAGGGCAGCCCTTGCCCACCTGCCTCGCCCGCTGCAGTGGAGAGCTTCCTCTCTCCAGCCTCACAAGGACCCGCCGCTGTTTGCCCCACAGTCCAGGGCCTGAAAGCAATTCTGTGCCCAACAAGCACGTTTCCCCTGAGTAAAACGGGGGGGAGGGAATGGGCGAGCCCACCGAAGCCGAGTGGTCTTCTTATCCAGGGCAGTTGGCAACGGCCGTTCTCTGAATGGTGTGACAAGGGCAGCCACCCAAGTGGCAAATCCATATCCACAGTCCGGCTGTTGAAAGACTGTGTGTGAAAGTCAGGGGGGAAAAAATCAGTTTTTCAGCAGATTACAAAAACATTTGAATTTTGAAAGTTTTTCCCCTTAAAAATTGTTTTTATTTGAGCTTCTTTCTTCACTTTTTACCTGATTGTGTGCAGATGATATGAGGAGCTGCCGGTCTTCTCTTCTCCGGTGTTCGAAGGGTGAAAGTCTTCCTCATCTGCTGCCAACAGCAAGTGCGGTCAATTCACTTTCCAGCTTGTATTAATTTGCAAGCCAGCTCTCTGCAGGCTGTGAGCGTTTGGAAGCGCGTTTATCGCAGTCTAAGATTCAGTTTGCTTTGAAGGTTTGCCAAAGTTACCCCCGGAAGTGGCTCTTTTCTCAACCCTCTGAAATCAATCACGGAACATTTTTTTTTTCTTGTAAGGTTTTCTGAATCTTTATGTCTTTATTGTTTTGTATTTGGTGCAAATATTCATCACTGAAACCGAAGGATTGTATTTGTTCCCTTATTTTGCTAAAAGCAATTAAAATCCAAGCTAAAATCTTGTTTCGGAAAACGTGCGTTTATCTCCTTGTCATATATTCTCATTGATGCCTCCGTTTTTCTCGTGGGCTGGGAGGCGGGGGGGGTCTCGGGGGCTCTTTGGACAACCGCCTTGCGCGGCGAGGACGGCGCCGCAATTTTTCTTCCACTGTTTTATTCAAAAGACGAGCGGCAACGGTGACCAACAGGTGCTCCTGGGCCCCCCACCCCCGTCTTACCGGAGATCAAACACACGGTGCAGAGAGCGGCTTTAAACTGGCCCCCCAAACATCCCTCGGACGAGGAGAGCGGCGGCCAGGAGGGGGTCGGGGGATCGTACAAACGCTCCCCTGAGTTCCTGCTCACCCGGCGACCGTGATCCGCAGGTGTCCCGAGGCCTCTTTGTGCTGCCAGCTCTCCCACTGGAAGCACTTGGTCAGAAAACCGCAGTCCCTGGCAGCGGAGAGGCTACCGGGGGTCTGGAGTTTGGGGGGATAGTAAACCTCCCAGGCTGCTCTCTCT